TCTCCAGACCAGCAGTCAGAAAATGGCTGGCCGGATAGGGTGGAAACATTAGTCTGTGCATATGTCTTCTCATCACTATCCTTTTCTCCACTCCGTACCCTTAACCCAACTTTCAGAGTTGGCTCTGTGTTTACCAGATAGATTCCCCACTCTTTCACATTCTTCTTAATGCATCTCTCTTTTAACTGAAATACTCTAGTACATATATATATATATATATATATATATATATATATATATTATTTTATTCATTCTCTTTGTTGGGTCTTTCCATGGATCTTTGGATTGAGTGACCATATGCTAAAGCTCTTGCCTTCAGATTTATGTATTCTCTTCAGATGAGGTCCCTAGATTCTAAGGCAAAAGGATGGCACCCTTTTAGTTAGTTATCCTCTGGATCAGCAGATCTCAAAGTGTACTCTGTATAGCATATGTCTCCACAGAAGCTCCAGGAATTCAAAACCACTTTCAGTAGTTTTGAAAAAATCAACAGTGGTAAAACTGTTGGCTCTTTGTGGCTCTTTAATATAAATCTAGGCAGTGGCACTAGATTCTTTACCATCATGCAATAGAAATTTTTAAGTAGTCAATTTTGCTTCATTCTGTTCTTAATGAAAAAGTAAAAATTAATTTTATTGAATTTCTACCTTTGAATAAATGCCTTTTTAATATTATTTGTGACTAAATGGGATGTTTGCATAATCATTTCCATTATATCCCTTGTTACCATTTGTCTCAGAGAAAAGCTCTTGAGTAGCTGCAAACTGAAATAGCTTCTTTTCTCTTAGAACATGGTTTTTATATGAAAAAATGACTGAAAAATTATGGTTATTCTAACAAGATTACACATTTGAAATATATTGTTTTGAAGTGAACAAAAAGTTTATGCCATTCATGGAAAACAACTAATAACATCTTCTGTTACTGATGAAAATAAAGCTTTTACTAGCAAATTAGAATTTGAGAAAACTTTGGTTTTCTATTGTGAACTGAATAGTTTCTCTAAAACCTTTCTAAGTAGACTGATTGCAATACACACAAATGTGATTTTTAAAATGCATATAGTTAGATGTGTCAATACTTGAAAGAGCTGCATAATTCATTGAACAAATATTTTCCAAATGATCAGTGCACTCATGTTAGCAAAACTGTACATGAGTGAATAGTCAGTGAAAGTGTAAAGCAAACTAAGACTGTTGATACAATTTCAGATTCCCTGTTATAAGTCAACTTGGGCTTTGTAATGTAAAGAAAAACATATCCACAGTTATCTGAAAGAGCTACTAAAGTACTTCTTTCTTTTCAAATTACGTATCTCTGAAACAATTTCATATTTTTGTCTGTTGCTTCAACCAACAGAAGAATGAATCCAAATAGAATATGAGAGTCCAACTCTCCCGTTCAGCTCATGTTGTAGTTAGGGTTTGCAAGGCAATAGATTTAATACAGGACATATAATTTATAGGATGATTTTGTAATATTCACCCAAAAAGTCAAATGCAGAAGAGTGCAAGAGATCTGTCCACATACTGAAGACCCAAAGAATCCAACTGAGGACCTAGATCCTATAGCGATGCCCTGCACAAGTCGAGCTGAAGCACTAGAGCCTACAATAATGTCTCATGCATGACCATATCAATATCTGCAGTGGAAAGGCCTAAAAGTCAGTGGAAGAAACTACATCTGTGCCACTGGGACAAAGGATCTGCCAGTGGGCTGAAGGATCTGAACTGGAGCCAGGAAGCAGTGCTCAAGGTGAGGAACAGAGCTCTCCAAAGAGAACCACCTCCATCAGCAACAGCGAGCACCTGAGCTCCTCCAATGATGAGAACAGCCGAGGTCATATGGGGAAAGCCAGAGAATCAACAGTGCACCATCTTCCCCGCCAGTTCTGCCTTTATGCTGTTGGCAGTAATTCTCATGTGAGGGCCTTGCACACTCGGAACCATGCTGATTCAGTTCAGCTGGGTGTTACAGGTTGACCATTAATTAATCCACCACAGCCTGCACTGCAAAGATTTGCATAACTGTAAAAGCTGTGTGACCCCTTAATGATTCTGTTTGGAAAACATAGCTATTTTTTACTAAAATAATGTTTCTATGTTAACATGTAGTGTCTTGTTAACTAAATTAAATATTCACAAATTGCAATTTTGTTTTTGAATATGAAAAATTTCAATTTTTATTCAATGTAAACAAATAGCTCTTGGGAGGAGGTTGTCCTCTGTAAGTTTTAAAGAGTATTAACAGTTTCTAAGACCAGAAAGCAGGAACCACTGGACTATCTCAGTAGTGATACATGTTTATTCTAATATACCAATTATGTTGGTAACATTTTCCCTCTTGATGAAGTTACTATTCTCTGCAAAAATTATAGTCATTCCAGTTCTATCAATTGAATTGTAATATCAGTTTTTCTGGAGTTCAACAACTAGAAGTTTATATTCACAAAGGCACCATCTGAAAATCATAGTTGAATATCATTTACTGTCCCCCTTAATGTTTAGTAGACAATTTGTTGCATCTTTTGCTATATATTGGTTTGGGTGGGTGGGGCTGTGATTTTCCTTTGTTTACATCCACTTAGTCTGACCTGCTGGCAGAGCCATTGGCCACATGATACTAAGTCATTAGGCCCCTCTATATAGCTTCTCTTAGGACTGTGAGGCTGTTAGTACAGTCATAATCAGATACAGTGTAGGGTGACTTCTTGATAGTTGTGGAAGTTGATGAGGAAAGTGACTAAGACACCTTAGTACCCTATTGATAGTTGTACTACAACTATATTCGTACTACTTTCACACCAGTGTCCTTCTATTCCAGCAGCTCATCCAGGATATCACACTGCATTTACTTTTGAGGTTTTCTTAGTTTCTTCTGGTCTGTGATAGCTTTTCATATCTTTCTTTTGTTTTCATGGCCTCAATAATCTTGAAGAAAATGGCCCAAGTATTCTGTACACGGTCCCTTATGATGTTTTCTCTTGATTATACCAGGGTTCTGGACTTGGGAAGACTGCCATTAAGATGAAGTGCTCTTCTCATCACATCATGGCAGGAAGTACATGACTTGCATGACTTGCATTGGTAACATTGACCTTGATCACTTGGTTCAGACGGATGAGGCTTCATAGACCTTTATATAATCTCCAGGAAGTAAACTCAGAGGAGCAGGAGTTCCTCACAGGTTCTCAATGACATGGAAGGAACTCAAGATGATTACTAGAGCCCAATTATTATAGGCACATGTCTGTAATCCTAGTGCTCAGGAAGCTGCTGCAGGAGGATCCTCAGCTATGTTTCAAGTTCCAGGGCTGCCATGGAGAAAGAGAGAGGCATTGAGATTCTCAAGGCTCTAATATTGTAATTGAAAATAGATTAAAATAGAGATTCACCAACAAAGCAGAGTGTTTATGCACCTGGGATATGGCCTCATTGGACTTCAGAGATAGAACTGAAAAAGTGTGTCTGGTACAGTGTCAGGCAGGAATTTTGTGAACATTTTCCTATTCTTCAAATGTTGAAAGCAAATCAAGTTTTGGTCCCTCTATATTGAAGCCACTGGAATATGCGTTTCCGAATACAGGGACTTGTTTACTTTTTTATCTCTTTCGGTATTTCTCTATCTCTTAACATAGCACAGAATTTATACCTATTAAATGGTTTTAAAATATTAACTAAGTGGGAATGGTGACTCTTGTACTCTGAAAGACTGAAAAAGAAAGATTGCAAGTTCAAGACCAGCCTGGGCAACTTAGTGATTTAGTGAGAACTCGTTTCAAAATCAAAAATGAAAAAAAGCGCTGGAGATGTAGGTCATTGTAGTGGTCTGCGTTCAATCCACAGTACCACAAAAAATTTCTTTTTAATTCAAAAAATTAAGGTATAGAAGTAGGAGTGGGAGGGGCCTGAAGTGGCAAATATCTGGCTGCTTCCTCAATCATAATTTTTTACCAAATATATTGGTGCTGTATTAGGCAGTAATAAATAAAACAGTTATTTAGACTTCAGAATGATAAAGGCTACAGGAAAAGCTTTCATGATGCTACTTGTAAGGACAAGTGGGGGATTTTTCATAGGCATGAAGAAAGAGAAGGGTATTTTCCAAAGGAGGAAACAAACACCAAGAGTGAAGCCCTGTCAGGAAGTGCGGCAGTACAGCAGCTTGTGAATGGCCCAGTAGAGGACGGGAGGTGGGGCGTGAGTAGAGCTGGGACTGAAAAGCAATCTGAAGCAAGATTATGAATGACACGCTAAAGAGCTTAGATTTCAGTGCCTGCCCATGAGGAAATGTGTGAGACATCCTGGTTAGACTGAAAACATCTTGAGGCTGGAAGATCCTTTAGGAATCATTTCACAACCTTGAAACAAGATGTGATATTTTTCTTTTCTTTTCTTTGAACTTATCATGGTAGATCATATATTGAAAGGAAATAAAGAAAATACACAGAATTCTTTTCACGTGTCTTTTAGTGTTAAAAATTCTACCAGTGCATCAACTTTTTCTTTTCTTTTGACTGTATACCCATCTGTCCTTCAGCCCTACAATTTTGTGTCTTTATCAAGAAAATGGTACCTTTAATATGCATTTATGAAAATGTATACAATATGTTTCTTGAAAATTTATGTATAAACTCCTTTAATTTCCAAAGGAATGTTTCTTTTTTGTTCATGTATCTTTTCATAAAAGTAACAACCCCCTTAATTTACTGTTTGTAGATGTACAGAATTTAATATATTAATATACATTGACACCTTAGGAAAAATGCAAAAAATTAAAAAATGAGTTCACTAGTTTTCCAGAATTGAAAATTTAAGATCATCTTTGAAATTGAAGAATTCAGTGTTTTCATGGCTTAGGATACTGAGCATTCATTTGGTATACTAATGCCTGAGAGCTTTTAAGTACTTGCATCAGTATTTTCCTAGATAAGCAGATATAACACAAGATATATAAATGCATAAGAAATTGCAAGATCAACTTATGATGGTCTCCCGCAGAGTTGGATGAGGAAGTGGCAGAGGCTGTCTGCACACTGGAGACCAAAGAATTCAGTCCAAGGTCTGGAGCTCACTGCAGCGTCCCCTGCAAGGCCACATCAGGAGGCTGGTGGGTCTGCAGTAAAGGCCAAAGGAGTGGCAGTGAAAGCCAAAGAGTCTGCACTGGAAGCCAAGAGATGATGTCCAAGCTGAAGGTGAAGACTGGCGCTCCTCCAAAGAACAAAAGCGAGTCCATCCTTCCTTATTTCCCCTCTATACCTTCTAGGCAACAAGCTGTCCTAGCATGGGTCCTCTACAACCTAGGACATAGAATTACTGAGCTGATTTAGTTAAGCTTCTAAACTTCTCAAATTGACAAAATCAGCCAACCACTATAGTACCTTTTAGTGTTAGCTCTAGTTCCCATGTTCAGTTTTACCTAAATCCAAAATAACTGCAAAGTACTTGACCATCTTTTAGTATGTCTCATCAAAGTTTTGAAAGTGTCTTACTGTTGGTAACTCAGTAACTTTTTTGCTGATGACTACAATGATGAAGAAAACACTAGCATAAGAAAATGATTCATATTAAGATTCATTGTTCATAAATTATTAAGAATAGAATTGACTAGTTATGTACTTGTAAAGAAATCAACTAAAGTAATTTGAATATGATATAACTTTAAAAGTCACAATAATTAAAGCAAGTAACATAAAGAAACATATGATAATGTGGAAGAGTGGAATGTTTTGCTTATATGTATAAAAACTATAATAGGAAACATGACTGAAAAATACATTAAACTGTTATATCCTTGGTTTAGCAGAGCAAATGGTTTTTACAAATTTTATTTTGTAATTAGGAAAGTTAGTTAATGTACAGTTTTACAGCCATAAAAGGCTGTCGCTGTAATTCCAATCTCAGGGTCCCTATAGATCAGCCCAAGTTCTTTGATGCTCTCTCCTCCCTAGACTTTCTTCTGTAGATTTATGGTGAGAAGTAAGAGTCGCAGGCTAGCCAAACTCCTTGCACAATGGCAGGGAATTCTGTAAATTAAAATTTAAAGCTCTTTCTATTACCCCAAGAAGTGCAGCTAAATTAACACTAGACATAGCAGCATCTAGATAACTAAGAGGCAGCATGAGATCCTAATGTAGCCAAAACACAAAGAGAAGAGCTGAATTAGTCACATCAGTGGAAGGATATGGCACATCACAGTCTGCACCTGCCACTTACCTCAGTGGGTTTTCAGGCAGTTTTTTCAAGTCTTTTGAATGAAACAATGAATGAATACATCACTTTCCTGTGCTGGCATCAACTCCACAATGTGTTATGGATTGAGTGTAGGAGATGTTGTGAGAAAGCTATGACTGTCTTCCAGACCCTTTCGCTTGGCTGTAGCCCTTGAGTGTGGCTCATGCTGTACTCGCTCCCCCATTGCACTTCTGCCCCTGCACACCTCCTGATCGTGGTAGTGTTGGCACAGTCCTCTGTGTTCCACTGCCCACTCATAGGGCCAGAAACCATTTCCAGAGGTCAGAAGTTCAGATTCTTGACCTTTCTTTCGTCTTGTCCTGCAGCATAAAAATACAGGAGAGAGGTTGATGAGACAGAATCATTATTTTTTGTCTGTTCCCTTTATTTGTAATGTGGGCTAACATTAATTTTGCAAATAATCATATTTTAAGAAAATAAATTTGTATTGATATTATATATGCTGACATACCTAGGGACAAAAACTGGCTTGTTATGTAAGTTTTATATAAATATATTATTATATAAGTAACAATACTTGTAATAATACATACACAATTCTACCAACAAAAATGTTTCATTTTTAAGTATTTCACTTTCTTTGTGACTTTCCACACCATGCTTCATCATTCAAAGGCTCTGCTTTCCAATTTTTAACTTCACCCATCTCTTTATTTGAAATTGAAATGTTACCAGGGAAGAGCAAAAAGAGAAAACCAGAGGGGAAGCGGCTGGAGTGAAAAAAGGCAGAGGGAGAAGACTGCTGAGGGGGAGAAAAAAGATTTAAATGAGACGTAGAATGAATGCTTCACTTGTTGGCTTTTAGCACAATTACCATACCTTAGGAAATATGCAGGGAATAGTTAATTGCCACTAAATGAGCCCCTTTTAGAGGCAGTGGCAGGCCCAGGGATCTGACTGTCAGAGCTGTGAAAGATGCTGAATTGGAAGGCCAGTTTCCATGTCAGGCAGTGGATGGTCAGCCTGGCTCGCCAGGCAGAGAAAACATAGCCGGGGAAGAGTAGCCTCAGACAAGAGAGCCTGGTAGAACATTTGCATACTTTTCCTGCAAAGGAGGTTTAATCCAGAGAAAGAAGGAGATTTTGGTATTGTCAGCCTGGCTTTGTTCAGCGTGAAGAGCAGAGGAAAATCAGCTGAAGGGCCTTTCTCAAAGCTGTGGTCCCAGGCTTGAGTTGTCCCAGCAAAGTTATGTTCTTGAGAATTGTTTGCACACTATGGTCTGTTTGAAGATCTTCTAAGCCCAATGATCTCAAAATATCCCCCTTTAGCAGCACAAACGAAGAGAATTTTTGTGGTAAAAGTGACTCGTATTGCAGACTGAACCCAAGAGCCCTTTGTTCTTACACAGAATCCTCTGAAGTTCTGAGGGTGCCTCTTAGAGCCAGACTGAGCAAGTCATACCCTAAAAGTCTTCCCAGACTAGAAAACAAGGCAAAAGCAATCTACACTTGTGTCTGTCATAGGAGGCAGCACTCTCCAAAAAAGATGGCTCCAGAAAAGTAGCAGATAAAAAGCAAGTTTGGTTGAAATGGCTCATTTTTGCCCCATTTTCCTGAAGAAATTTTTGAGGTTGCAGAGTTTGTTTATAAAGCCAAGCCTCATTGTTTGGACCGTTGCATTGAAGTATTCCCATCATTCAGTTGCCCTGGTCTTTTATCTAGCAAGATGAGTTTCTGAGATCGCTCTGTGTCCAGTTTTCAAAACTGGGTTCTGACCTTCAGCATGTGTTTTCTAAAACCCTACACATTTCTAATGAGGGATATATACCTGCAGTCCCTGCTTGCATGCTAGATGATCACAGTATTGTGGTTCAGAAATCAGGACTTATTTCAGCTTCCCTAGTTGCTTTGAGCCTAAGTGCCCATAATCCTTATAGTTCAGGACATTGTTTAAATAATGTACTTATATATAAAAGTAATCACGGGGAGCTGTGAGTGCCTTTTTAAATTCATGATTTTTCATATAGAACTTAATTAGTATTCAAAAATGTGTTATCTTAATATATAATTAAAATCACAAACGAAACATTCCTTTTTAAACTGATAGAATATATATATATATATATATATATATATATATTATATATAAAATAAGACATTATCAGAGGTTGGAAAAATCTATATGTATTTACACATAGCAGGTAATTTAACCTGAGTTTTTGAATTAATATTTTCTTCCCAGTTTCATTTTATGGTTCTTGTTCTTTTTGCTATAGTGAGTAATGAAAAAAAAATGTTTATTTAAGGTTCTGACAATAAAGCATCTGAGTTTCAAAATAAATGCGAATGGTTAACATGAAAAATTAAGAAAAAGATTACTTCAAAATTAACATAAGCCAGCTTCTGGGAGAATAGCTGTGCACTCTTCTTTGGTGCAGTAATTAGAGCTTTCATCAAGATGACCCTGTCCATCATGGGTAAAGGACTAGTGGGTGTGGGTCCCAGGCAGACATACAGCTAAGGCCTTAGCAGGGGCGAGTTGCAAGTTTCTGAAGTTACCGTTATTTTTTGTTATGAGTGAGATGCTTGTGTCTAATCTAAGTAAACTCTGCCTTGCTGGAAGTGGTGCATTTCTTTCTCCTGCTTTGCATTTTCCCCTGTGAGAAGCATGTCTGAATGGGGGGGACTTGAATATACCTCTTTGTTGCTGAACTTGTCAAGCACAGCACTGTGTTCTCTTTCCCACCAGGAAGGTCAGGCCGCTGGGGGCCAATCTGCTTTCTGAAATGAACCCTACTGTCTATCCCTGGTGTCTGACAGATTGAAACAGTTGTCTGTGTTACTGTGCTTTCAATGCTATTTAAATGGCTTGCTTTCTGAGGAGGAAAAAAAAGGTAATATGTGTAGGCTACACTGAAAAAATGAAATTTTTTGAAAGGACCAGACTTGTATGTTAATATGTATCTAAAAGATAAATTTAATTAACTTTCTAAGAACATATTTACACATCCAGGAAGTTAACCATGTGCAGTTAAAGCCTGGCTCTCTCTCTCTCACACGCTTTATCTCCCCCCTCCCTCCAAGATAAGCCTTTATTTCTGAGTTCTTCTGAAGACTTTTGTGTATGTGTTTTTCTAATTGGAGTAATAAAATTATGAAGTATGGAACTGTTTCAATAGTAGACTTATAGAAGTAAGAGTCCTTTGTTCCTGTAGATTTCAGCTGCATTGTATTTTGATCAGAGGTATGTATAAAGCCTGAAGAAATATGTACTGCATGAGCCTCACTTCAATACTCTCCAGATAATTGAGCTAATTAAATCTTTACCAACATTAACACAACTCCAGCATTCCTTGGACAGTGGATAATTATTGCATGAACATGGCAAGCTTAAACTAAACAGATGAAAATAGAGTTCTGCGGAATGGGTATTGAGTTTATTCTTTATTCATCTTTTGATAAGGTTTAATTAAAACTGCCTCTCTCTATTGTAGTGAGAATGAATGTGCTTGTTTTCCTACTGAAAAGCAAATTATTCACTTCAGCCATGGTTCAATAATCAAAGCCTTTGCAAAGTTTTGGGTTATAGTGTAGCTGTGGGGATATAATTGCTGCAATTCTGTATGAAGGCTTTATCTTTTTTTATTACTTTCTCTTATTTATTTTTGTAGAGAAAAATTTATAAAAGACCATTTTGTGATTTGGTAGAAGAGTGCCTATGTTTGAAGCCTTGTTGCAGGTTTACTGTGGCTACATTTTTTAAAGGTGCATTTCTTAGAACCTCTTGCTGACATGGGAGGTAAAAGGGACACACGCTGAAATAGACGGCGTTTGAGATGGATTTCTGTTAGTGAATAAAGTTTGGTAAAACCTTTAAATCCTGTGATTACCACAGGATTAACATAATGGGGTGACAGTCCTGAGGGTAGAAAGCAATAGGCATTGGGTATTCTTTCTACAAATATATATTTGCATTCTCCTTAACTTTTTGTCCACCCACCAGAAATATTTTCTGTATTGTTCATTTAAAGGAGATGGAGCTTTTTCTAATCTTGGTGCTAATTTTCTAAAACGAATAGATTTTAGGTACATCAACGATAACTTGTTAATATACTTACTGTCATGATTGCTGTGATTTATTTCCCTTTCTTCCTTCTCTCTTCTCTTTTTTTAATAAAATGGGAGATTACAAAGATATTTAGTGGAACCAAGGACAAAAGTAAAATGGGGCTCTGAAAGATGAACTGGAAGCAGAGACTCCAGCACAGACAAGCTCTCTCACCCCACCTGTTTTTCTGTTGCCTTGATCCTGGCTTTCCTTGCTTCTCTAGTCCCTGTGATGGAAACCAGTTGACTTATCCTATGATTTGTCACAAGAGAAAAACCAAACATTACTCTGCGTCAGCGTCCCTGCTCCCTACCACGGGCGTTTACCCATCCTAGATCAAGTGAGTCGGCCCTGCAGCCCAATAGCAGGCTCTTTACTTACCACTTCTTACTGCCTCTTGCTTTATCCATTCCTTAGGGAAGTGCGAAATCCAGACTGGAACAAATGTTTCTTCATCTACAGAAATATTCTGAGGGTTAGAATGCAGTGTTTTTAACCTCCTTTTTGATTAGTGGTATCCGTCTAGTGGACTAGAAATAGTGCTTAAGTGTAATAGACTAAATGGGAAGGGAAAATGTCCCAGATGATCACATATAGTGGGAATAATGACTATTTTATGAAATTTCCCTTTCAGCTGTGAGTGCCTGTGTGTGTGTACTATTGAGAGTCACTTAGAAATGCATTTTTTACAGTGAGTTGTGGCCAAAACAAGTTTCAAAGCAGTGACTGCTTCTTAGATCCCCTTCAAGGCTTCTCCCGGGAGGCAGGGGTGGCGGGTGGGGAGGCACTGGGCAGGACTCCAGCCCCATCCATCTCCCATCAAAGTGGCTCCACTTTAATCTGCTCTACACTTTGTTTCCACCTAATTTTTTTTTTCCTTAAACAAAGGATACAGTGCCCAAAAGTTTGAGTGAACGGTTTTCCAGGTTCCTTCTTGGGATTTTAGAGCTAAGTACGGTAGCCTTTGGGACAAGAACAGACATTATTTTGGTTTTCTGTACTAAAGAAGGTTTTGGGAAATCATCCAGCCTTTGCTATTTTAGTTTTCTTTATTTCCTCTTCCTGCCCCCTCCTTCCTTACTCTCTCCCCCTCTCTTTTTTTCTCTTTCACTGTCATGTTCAAATGCAGTTTCCCTACGTCATCCCCTTAAAAACTCCGAGACTTAGTTTATAGTATGGACAGTAAATCTGAATGGACTTAAACAGCTTTGCCATTTAAAAAAAGAAAACAACAGCGACTACCTCCGCCTGCACCTCTCCCTGTTAGCAGAAGTGTGGACGGAAGCAAGACTGCCAGGCTCAGCCACTTCCTCCAGGGCTTAAGTGCCCTCCGTGGACAACTGAGGATCCTAGGGAGAAATGGTCCTTAGTCGGGATACAGAAAAAGACCAAAGAAAAAAACAGGCTTCTCTCAAAGTGTATTTCATACTGCTTCCTTTGGAAAGTAGAACTAGATTTAGTGATGGTTTTTTCAGCCCTTGCATTGGAAGGAGGTCTCAGACACGCACTGTCCTGAAGCTGCAGCTGTGTGTTGAGCTCTCTCCTTAATCATGAGCTCTACAATTCTTCTGTGATGAAGATGAGAAACGGTTAGGACTTCCTGCATTTTTCCCCAGTACTTATTGGTAGACCTTTTGTTTGTTACTGGAAAGAAAAGGCCAGACAACCTCACAGTGTAACACATTACTTGATATAGATGGTGCATCAGGATGACAAAGGGAGGAGCAATTTGCTTGGTTTGACATGAATTTTAAAAAGTTGTTAAAAATTAAGACAGGAGGGTTTTCTTTTTTTCTTTTTAATTAGGGAGAAGCCCAAGTGTGGCACTGAATGAGTACGCGCAGGAGATAGCAAGGATTTCCTTGAGTGAAGTGAAGAACCTAATCAAGTGGGAGCAGTCTTTGCGAAAGGTTAAGTTTCATGCCTTCAGTAGAGGCCACTCCAGACAAACTATTAGTGAGATATAGGCTTGTGGTTGAAATGAAAGGAGACTGACGAGGAAAATTAAGGCCACCTCCACATTGCAAGAGTAACAAACTGATCTGGTGACACCTTTACTATAGCCTCAAAGAACTCAGCAGGAGGTGGGGATAGACTGGGCAACTCTGGGGGTGTAGAAGTGTCATTTAGTTTAGGTTGATAGGTAGGTAGATATATGTAGATATACATCTAGATATTATATGGAGAGAGAAGGACTGAGATTAAAAACTACACGGAAGCTGGTTCACTGTTACGGAACTGTGGCTACAATTTATGACAGAAAACAGAGATGAGACTATGGTCAAACAGAAGACAGAAATAAATTAGAGATGCAGCCCTAACTTACCATCTCTCTCTAAGGCCAAGTTAGTACATCCCAACCTCACGTAGGATGTTCCTGTCTTGTTTTCAAAACAGTTGTGGAGGTGGTACTTCAAACCCTTTAACAGATGCTACTCATACATCTAAGATTTGCTTAAAGTAGCAGTTTTTAAATCTTTAAGATGATGATCAACTTTTACAGCCATGGAGATTTTATGGAAAAGTACAGGTTTTCCTGTATCTCACTTTATAAAAAAGGAAATGTAAGCCCCTCTTAGCACTCGCAGGACAGCAGTGACTGACTGAGGTGAGCCACAGCTGTGACTTAGAAGTACCACAGTCCCCACCACTTTTTCTTGTCTCCCTGTCCCCTGGACTAAAGAAACCACTTCTATTTGCCTTCACCTTTTGCCAGTGTTTATCTTGTAAGAAGAAAAAAAGAAAAGTACAATATTTTTGTAACCAATGGTGCTATACCAAGTGTCCCTTGTAACAGTAACCTGAAAGGGCCTTTTGTTGGAAGAATTGAAAAGAACATGTTTCTTTATGTAAATAATCAAACCTACTTCCCTCACTTTGGTCACCTTCCTGCCCTTCCAGGACCTCTGTCTTAGAATCATTTCTAACTTTTTGGCAGTCAACTGTGTTATTATATGTGTTAACCTTCTTTTCTCAAGGGGACCATAAAGCATTTTTGATATAAAGCTATCTGTTCCACAGCATATGGCACTACATTCTACACTAAGTGAAATATTTGCATATCGTTAGTGGGGAGCCAGGAGTAAAGTGAAAAGAACATAACAAATTTCCAAGGAAGAAGGATTGTAAGTAAGTAGTCCAAATGAATGAAAACCATAAGACAAATCGACAAACATTTATTAAATACCAATAAATCACTGAGATTTTGTGAGAGATACAAACGTTTGTGAGATATTGTCCCTATAGTACAGCAATTTCTTTGCAGCAGGTGACATAAGGAATAGAATTACTAGCTTCATATAAGAGATGAGAAGTTCTGTTAGACAAATGTAGCTACTATGCTAAGAAAACAGAGCAAGGGGAGATTTTTCTGGAGCCAGGGATTACAGAGAAGAAAATATCTGCGCTAACATTTGAGCACTAAGTAGAATATCTATAGTTGGGGGACAGATTCCAGGAAGAGTTATCAAACCAGGAAAGGCTACGAAGTCCAGAGTATGTTTGAAACAGGACAAAACATGTATTTGTTTCCAACAGTAGGACTTGTGAGTAGGTACATGGGTCTGTGGAAAAGGAAGAAAGAGAATGGCCAGGCACCGTCCACTGTCATGTCAGAACAGCACAGGAACTTTGACTGCCTCTGCAGATCAACTTAGAAATTCAAGAACTGCAGTGTCCCCAGAGCCCTGTTCCTTAACCTTTGCTTTATGCTTCCTGTTTCTAGAGAATTCTGCAATGCCACAGAACAATAAAATTACTGCTAATAATGTTGATAACATCTCATTTATTGTTTACTGTGCCAGAAGCCATGCTGAGTGCTTTGTGTGAATGATTCATTTAATCCTCCCAACAACTCTCAAAGGGGAGTGTTTTTATCCCCATTTGCAGCAGAAAAGACTGAGATGTGAACTGTTTCTTCAGGTCTGCTGATATCCCACTAAGAAGTAGTACGTCACTCATTGTGCTCATCACTGGACTTTTTATTCGACTCTGACAGGCTTCTTTATTTTAGATAATTCAATCATGATCAGTCTAAGTCTATAAAATTATTTAGTTGCTAATGTCTAGAGTAGCTTCAGCTACCTCTAGAGATAAAATTAGAGATTTAAGAACTACAATGCCCTCCAAACCCTGTCCAAATTGAGTTAATTAAACTGTAACTTGAACACTCTAAAAGCCCTATTTAAATACAATTTCATTCTTAGTGAAAAGCCCCAGCAACCTTGGTTAAAACTGAATGCAGTCAGAAGTAAAAGTGTCAATTTGTCTTTAATCTAAAATTCTCAACATGAAAATGTGGCATGTGTCATTGTTGCAGTTGGTTCTTCAAATTTATATCACCATTCTCAATAAAATGATAATGCTGTACATAAATTTTATGAAGACACATTGGTCTGAGAACATTGGGGATTTCTACATAATCATTTGTTTTTTAAAAACATATATTTAAGACGCTATCACTGTGGTCCACATTTGAATGGTGTTGACATTTCATAAAATTTTTTTAGGTTAAATATGTGATTCAAACAATGTAATCCACTACAGCCTTAGTCTCTGACCATTTTGAGTAGATCTAAGCAGCTCCCATGATTTATGTCAACTTGGGAGAGAAGTGACACAGATAACAGAAATGTTAGTTGAGGGTACATTGTTCCAACCACAGCTGTACTATTCTAGTAATTTTTGGAAGATAACCTAACAGCAGAATGAGTTTGTATTCCTTAAAATACCAACCATTTTGGAGCAGGAATTCCAGGATGTTGTGATTCCCTAAAGTATATCCACAAAAATGAATAATCACTGACAGAGGCTTTGGGGAAAAAATGATCAAAAACAAAAAGGTGTATATTAAAAAATAAAATATGTAAGGGAAAAATGATTGAAAGGAAAGACACAAACTATTTCTGGTGTGTCATACTGTGAGACAAGGGTTAGAGACATTAGGAAAGGAGAAAGAAGAGAGGCCGCTCATTGCCGAAGGTTGCAGCGCGGAGACCTGAGTGCTCTTCCATTGCCACCTTTTCCTTCTGACTGGTGTGAGGAAAGCCATAGGTGCTTGCTGCTCAGATACCAGTACTCTTGAAAACAAAAAGGATTTGTGCTCAAGTCTCTAAAGGAAACCCTAACCCAATGAGACGGGGAGGGGCGCCCCTCGGCGTTTTAGGGTTTCCTAAGCTACTTGATAAGCAACATATTCCTGAGGACCTGTTCTAGTTGAGCAGGCTCATTCCGAAGCTCCAGATAGTGGCTTATTTCTCTAGAAATACCTTTTAGATGGCTGAAATGTAAATTAATAAACCAGCCAGAGCTGCATGCCTACATGACTTGAAAGTTAACTGCAGTTTATTGATCTGCAGCCTACAAGCTGTTCTATGCCACGCTGCACATAAGAACGCCAGTCTTTAAAGCCACCAACAATTTTTTTAATTACCTCAAAAAAAAAAAATCTTTTACATCTTTAGACAGTACTGTTGTTAGACTGAAACCTTCTTCCCTCCACCTTTCTTCCTCCAAATTGAGTCATTCCTGGCTAGTGTGGACAACAGCAGTAGCTAAGGCAGTGTACATAACCAGACCTGCTTTTCAGCATTAGCAGAGGCAGGAGTGGCTCCCCGGACTGGCGCCACTTCTGCTCCATCTGAAAGAAAGTTCAGTGAGGGGTCCAAATGGCTGTCTTGAATATCATTTTAAAAGGTGGAAGTACAACCCGGTGCCGCTTACTTCCTTTATGCACCTGTGAAGGAGCCAGCCTACCTGGCTCCCAAAATCCAGACCCTCTTCCAGCTTCCTCCTAGATGCTCTCTTGAATGTCCACCTGCTGTGTAAATCTAAGTACTTCTTAGCATGTGTCCAAAGAGCCTTTGAAACTTCAGACAGGTGCACCTGGCTTTGCTGTTCACAGTGAGCCTAATGACACCTCGTATGTGTTCTCCGTGATTTTATCAATTTTTCCAGCTCTTCCTCTCCACTTCTGTTGATCTGTGCTGAAAAAACTCCATTTTCCATCTTCTGTCTCTCCCCATTTTTCTCTGATTTTATACACACACGTGCGCGCGCACACACACACACACACACACACACGAGGTTCTTTTTCTTTCACTTTAAAAAATAAAAAAAAAATATTTAGAATATTTTATTTTCCCAACTTTATTGGACTTTTCGAATCGTTATCATACAGGGCATAATTATCAGGCACACTGAGTGGGTACAGACAAGCCAGTTTGGTCCACGGGTGCTATCTGCTCACCCTTCTCAAGTCCTCCCCTCCGTCAGGCACCTCCACGCATGCACACATACACATATATCTTCATGTGGTTTTTTTTAGGTATTTTACCACCAGAAAGATGTCCTACAAATTTGCTTTGTTTTGCGGGGGTTTTTTTTAGTGTGCTTTCTCCCCAATATAGTTTTTTACATTAATAGGAAATAGAACTAATGACAGGTACTGCATACTTTGAACACTCAGATGGAAAATGTTGAGTTATTCATTATTGGTCATCTTTCTCCAGTAGAAAAATACTCTCTCCAATCCCACGTTAGCTTTTTAAAGACATTTTTAACGTATAACCTTGTCAAAGGCTTTTTAAGGTTTAAATAAATTATGTGCCCCACTTAATGTACCATCTGAAATAACACATGATGGGTGAAATACACCCTTTTTCCATGAAAGCCACATTGCCTTTCCCCCTGACGATTATGTTTCTAGGGCTGGGGATTTAGCTCCGTGGCATAAGTGCCTCTCCAGCAAGCACGAGGTCATGAATTTGATCCTGATACAAAAAACAAACAAAGAAACAAAAAGGTTATGTTTCCTTATGTAGTATTTGTTGATTACTTAGGTATCACCAACTTGCCATGTATGAAGCGAGTCCCAGTTTATAAACCAAACTTTTTCTCTGTAACAATCTGGATAAGTGCATAAATAACTAACTCAAAATATTCCTTTTCTTGTATGATAATGCTTCATACTTTTTATTCATTTAATCATGCTTAACCTTAAACGTAGCATGTTTAACATTACAGTCATCATCAGTGAATCATTTAAGAAGTAAATAGAGACCTATGATTCAAATTGGTACATCTACATCTGTGTATACACACACATATACTTGGATATAATATAGCTCTAGTAGCTATCACAGAATTCTGAGTAACATGAATAATAAAATAAGCTGGGTGATATAGAATAAAAATTCATATTAAATGGGAGTTTTCGGATCAGACAATGGTGTGCACATACTACATTTCACTTATATAGGGATCTATCATTTCCAGTCCCTCTAAGAAGATATGAAACCAGCACTTTTGGTACATATGATGCTTGTGAGGCGATCATTAGCGTAGTGCCCCTGTGACTATAACCTTGTTCCAGATGTGCATCTGCAGAGTCAGCCGAGCTGTGCTGTCTACTGTTAAGGACACTGCATTCAAATGGGGGAGACAGACCACAATCGGTGCATCTCGTGAGGGTGCTTCAGTGGGAGCATCATACAAGGGAGGTAGCATGAGTAAAGCTGCTGGTGGGTTGCTCTCCTCAGAAGTATTATTTTATGTTTTTTATTTCCCTTGTATCAATACTGAACAAAAAGTTCATTCATTTCTTGCTCCTTACCTGACATTGTACAGGACAGGACATGGCGACTTGCAAACCAAGAACAGCAGCTGTTGAAAATTTATATGACCATATAACCATATGTACAGGCTGATGATTGAGAAACCATGCCCAATGTTGGAGACCTAATGCTTTTAGAGCCCTCCATATAGACGGGCAGCCTTAACTTAGTTTAGCAGTAATAGTCATTTGGCACTGCTTTTGCTATTTAAAAAAAAAAAAAAAAACTTAACCTTTTCAAAAAAGAATCACACTGAGCGAAGAGTCATGTCAAGGTAGTAAGTATATAGCAGCAGGTACAAGATGCTGCTTAGATGAGGAGATTTGAGAAGGGTTTTATTTCAAGACATCTTTTTGTCATCTGGATCCCTTGTTGTGAAATCCTGTTCACATTGGAAGCTTCTTTGAGTTAAATGCACCACTGGCAGCGCATATTGCAGCCTACTTTTTCATGTTCAAATTCACACCTTAGGGCAGGTACACAGACACCCAGGACCAGAGTGTGAATGTGAACTGCCTGGGGACTGCAAGTGATGTTCTAATAGTTTTAAGCAGTTCAAGCTCTTCCAGTTAGCATGTGGCTAATGCATAAAATGCTAATACTCCTTAAGAAGAACATATGTTACAGTCGCAGTGCCTTGTCAAGCACACTCTAATCTGTTAGCAATTTGAGACTTACAAAAGCTTGTTCCTGGCCACATATCTGTCTCTGCAGTTGTCTCCACTGTATATCCTGTGCAAGTTCAAAGTCTGATGATGACATTAAAAGCACACGTCTTGGTTTTATTAGCCAGCTCCTAGCTGTTTTAGATGAACACACAGACTAATTTTGCTGTATGGAATTAAATATGCCATATGGATGTGTTCCAGTTGTCCTGATACACTCATTTCATTCCACTCCATTTTTCTCTCTCTCTTTATTGACTCTGAGCATGCAGATCTGTAGTGGGAAAAAAATTGATTGACTCCGAAAGTAGAGGATCACAAGGCAGTGATTTCATGCTTGGTTGTTGGCTAACAAGGCACCATAGTTTTTATGTAGTGAGGTCTGGTGGCAGGAGATGAAAAATTGTATAGGCCCAGCTGCCACAGTTACAGAGCAAGCAGCTTAAAGGCGTTGGGGGTTCCAAGTGTGAGGGGAATTGTCTCTTCCCAGCAGGTAAGGGATGAATCTGTTGTGTCTGTTGTGTTGAAGATGCTGACTGACTCAGGCAATTCATAAATCCAAAAAAATTACATCTTCTGGTCAGGAGGAAGTGGCAGGGACATTTATGGATGCACTTAACCCTTTTAATGCCAGAAAGTCATATGGCCTTTGCTTGCTGGCTGTTTACAAGGTTTCATTATGTATGCAGATCTCTTAGCTTTTAAGTTTCCTTTCCATATCTCATTTTAAATTAAAATATATTAGACCAACTAGTCAAATATGTTTAGTGATATTTAGTCAATCCATTTACTTTTGATGTTTTCATATATTTACATTATTTTTCAGACAGTTGTGATTTTTTCTGGTTAGTCTACAAGTAAGAAGCCATAGTTTATTGTGTGTGTTCATGTGTGTGCATGTGCACACACATAAGCATGTGTCCACATGTACATGAGAGTCACTCCTACATGAATAGATACTTAACAGATGAAGAAGTACAAATAGCCAATAAGTACATGAAAAAAAAAGTTCAGTATCTCTGGACACTAAAGAAACGCAAGTTAAAACAACCCTGAGATTCCAATTCATGCAAGAAAGTATGGCTACCACTAAGAAATCAACCAATAACAAATGCTGGTGAGACTGCAGAGCGGAGTGGGGACCCTTGTCCATTGTTTGTGAGAGTGTAAACTGATCCAACCACTATGGAAATCCATATAGTGATTCTTCAATAAACCAAAACTAGAGTTTCCATTTGATCCAGTTATTCTCTTTGTAGATATCTTCCCAAAAGAGTTGAAGTCATCATAGTGCAAGGATGTATGCATACTCATTCACATAGCAGTACAATTAATAAGTGCTAAATCTTGGAAACAGTCCATATACTCATCGATGGATGGATAAAGAAAATGTGTGATACAATATATATACAATAGAGTATTACTCTGCCATAAAGAAGGATATAGTTGAGACATTTTTAGGTAAATAGATGCACCTTGAGACCATAATCTTTTTTGGGGGGATCCAACTTGCAACCTTCCAGCAATAGTTTATCTACTTTTTTTTTGTACCAGGGATTGAA